GTCAGCCTGGAGGGGAGATACTGTACCAGCTTCTTTACCTTAAACTAATTATAAAAAATATGCCTACGGATGGCTCCTGAGCTATTCCCTAACTTGCAGGCTGTGCCGAGCCATACACATGTGCAGGCAGAAAAGTCAGAGGTCAAGGTAAATGCCCATACCAACATAATGAGTGACTCTAATTTTAAATAGTGTTTATATAAGCCCCAGAAGGACTGCGGAAGATATTTTCTCAGGCACATTTCCACTGCCGGGGTATAGTTTCAGGCACAGATCATCAGCACATAAAGGATGCTGACGCAGGAGCTGCTATCGCAGACGGCACCGAGAGCCACTGGCACCCGTCCCCGGCACTCCTGGGGAGAACGATGCTGCGCTGTCCTCCCGTCATTAACTCTCTGGGCTGACGGCTAATTCCCTGACCCAGACATAAGACGTTCCAAGGATCTTTACAGACACCCACAAAGTCAGTGCTGCTTTGGAGCAGAAAGTCCCTAACCCAGCAGGTGGGATGGGAAACACGATTTCCTTTGAATTAGTCCTGTTGGGTTTCAGTGCCCAAGGAGCAGGGGTGGTGTAAAGCAGAGCTTTCCGACATCTCAAAAGCATCTTAAAAAAAAAAAAAGAAAAAAAAAGAGAAAAAAAAACAAAACCAAAAAACTGAAACCAAACCCAAGCATCCTTTCAAGTCTCACCATTGGCAGCTCTTTCAAAAGTTTGCCGACATGGTAGGAATTGCCCGGCCTTGAAAGACGCACGCCATTTGACATTAATCATCCAACCCTTTATACACTATGGGTAATCCCAGAGGAACAAAAGGCATCGGGTGTTTCACTGGTGTTAACAAAGCCTCCCCACACCTCTGGGCTGGGACATCACCCCGTAACCGGTGAGGGAACCAAACCCTGCGACGGGGAGAAGTCAAGGCACTTGCTGCAGGTCCAGGTACACCGGGACAGAGCCAGGGACAAGGCAGGGGTCCGGTGGGATGGCAGCCATGCTCCCGTCGCTCCCAGCAGCCTCCTGCCAGTGGGCTGGCTTGAATAAGTGGAAGAGCACACCCTTAAAAACAGCAATGAGCTCAAACAGCACCCTGCCAACGCCAGGCCCCTCTCCCCACCCTTCCCCTGCCGAGAGGCAGCGTCTGCCGAGGCCGGTTTGGTTAAGGCTGGGTCACCATGGCAGACGGGGACCGGGGAAGAGCCGCTTTGCCGCAAGTGGCAAAAAAAGGAATGTCCCGTTTAGGGTCAGCAAGGAGCTTTCTATATGTGTGGGTTTGGGGCTGAGCAAAAAATTAATGGTTTCACCTGCCCTGAAAGAAGAGTCACTGCCTAACCAGGGGAGGGGGCGATTTTCTCAGGATACCCCTTTCCCCCTGATCAGAGAAAAGTCCACGCGCCAGCTGGCCGCGCCGTCCCAGCGCCGTGTTGCCCGCTGCCCCTTGCTGTCCGACTGGGAATTGCAGCAGTTTCCCTGGCCAAGGCTGTACCGCAGCCACTGCCCCAAACCCGGGATGCGCTTGCCTTTCCACACACAAGGTTTACATCCCATGGGAAAGCCCCGCGTGCCCGAGCCCCACAGCCTGGAAACTCTGTGGCAGCTCTACTTTTAAACAAAGCCTTTGAACCGAATCCGATCGGAAAGTATCATCTTTCTCATCTCCTCGGACGGTGCTTGGGGACGATCAATCACCAATACCGCGCAGGGCTCGTCTCCTCCGGCAGAGTGGGATGTCACACTGACAGTGCCACCGGGGCTGGATGAGGGGGAGACGGATGCAAGGGAGAAGGATGCGACCTTCTGGTACCCAGCGAGGGATTTGGGGACGGGCTCGTCAGCCAAAGCTACCGACAGCCAGGGGCTGA